AGTCCATCATTATTTAGCTTTTCTTTTTTAAATGAATGTTCTTTGTTACAGGAAAGCGCAGGGGCACGAGAGAAGCTAGACTTCCAACTAAGGTACTTTGGATGCGAAGGATGCGAGTTCTTAGACGGTTGCTGCGGAAGTATCGTGAATCAAAGAAGATTGACAAGCACATGTACCATGACATGTACATGAAAGTCAAAGGTAATGTTTTTAAGAACAAGAGGGTGCTGATGGAAAGTATTCATAAATCCAAAGCTGAAAAGGCAAGAGAGAAGACCTTATCTGACCAGTTTGAAGCTAAACGAGCCAAGAGCAAGGCTAGCAGAGAAAGGAAGATTGCTAGGAGAGAGGAACGCCTGGCTCAGGTCCGATAAAGGTTTTCTTGTGTTTACCTTATTATATGACATGCAGCTTACATCGGTTCTTTTGCTAATCATGCTGCCATTTCAACTGCTTTGGTTTATTAATTCTGATTCTTAATGGGCAAGGATTTGGAAGATTATTCTATCCATTTTGCACTACTATCATTCTTGTCTCCTGTGATTAACCAACATCAACTTCCAGGCCATAAAAGCATTTTTCTTGATGTTCAAATTAGAATGACTACTGTAGCTAGATAGGGAGGAAACAGTTAGTCTTCACCCCTAATATTATTCTTTTCATACTGAACTGTAGCCACAGATTAATGTTAAGCCTTCTTTTCAAAGTTGTAGGCCAAAACACTTATCCAATGATTATGTAATGGAAAATAGGGTATGTTGCTATTTTATTTGTTTGATTGCCAATTATATATTCTGCAAATGATTCTATTGAAAGTGTTGTCAGTTTTAGCGTGGGTGACTCAGTATTCTGTTCATCATTGTTGCTTCGAATTGTTTGTTAGCAGGCACTTGTAGTCAATGCTGCTTTTGTTTTTAGTTTGTTGACAATAAATGCATGTACACTTCGACCTGTTCTCATTGTCTCTGTGTTGTGTTGGTGCTGTATGCAAACAGGGGACTGGAGACCGCGTACCTGCTGCACAACCTGTGTAGGGGGTTCTTTTTCCTTTGCACTAATATGAAAGCTGTTTAGGATTTGTACACAAACTAATTGTGGTATCTTTCTGGTGCAGGGCTCCCAAGAAAGCTAAGTAGTTAGGGATAATGATGATGCCAAGACATTAGTTGCAGAATATGTAGAAGTGGTTAATGGATTGTAACTTTTGTTCTGTTCTGTTTTCCAAACCATGAGTTCTTGCAAAAAGTGAGAGAAACCTTTATTCCACGTCTGTCTCTCGGGTTTCTCTTCATGTTTGTTTTATGGAGTTGGAATATGTTTGTATGCTAGTTTCAGTTTTGAGTAGTGGTATTACCTGCTTTTGATGATAAAAAATGTTTTGGTCAATTAATACTGTGGTAGAATATTGATTCTTTAGTTCATTGGTCATTTACATTTAATTTGTTATGATTATGCATCATTCTTCACTGTGCACCTAATAGTCTCGCCCCCTGCAATACCTCATTTTGTGCCTACAAATATGTGAGTGATGACTACATCCTAGTTGTTTCTGCCTTAGATTCTCAAGCACCAGAACTAATAATAGCAATAACCAATTTGCATTAGTAGGGCCCAAGGGTTTTCCTGCAACTAATACAGAGAGTACTTTTATCATCTCATAGTAAATGTTAACAAAAATTTGGTGAGTTTTCTTAGACGATATCATGTGTTAATTCCATTGGTTTAACGCCACCAGGTTTGTCCTTGCAGTGGGTTGGGTTTGTGGCTGGCGACAAACATAATTAAATAGCATCGAGATGAATTAAACTACCAGGATAGTTCTGCACTGGACATGTTATATTCTCCTTAAATCAGGGCCACGGAAGCCATTAAATTGAAACTGGAGCGACATCTTTCATTCGTTTGCAGAACCGAAAGTACAATTTAAAGTTCCTGCCTATTCTCCCTGGCAGGGGAAAGGATCTGATAGAGCCGATAAGAAAGTTTTATGAAATGGTCGATGAAAGAAAGAAACCCCAGGAATAATGCCATCACCACCAGCAGCAGAAACAATCTTGTAGGACTATTCATGGAGAACCAATCCATTATCGGCAACTTCTCCTTGTCTGTGGTCAGCTCTGTTGCCATCACGTTATCCACCGTTACCTGTTTCACCAGAATGATTTCCTTTTGCTGCTCTTCTTCTGCTTCTTCCACGTGTATCATGTTCTTGGTTTCTGCCGAGGTTTCCGACTGGTCACCTGTATCTGCCACCACCTCCACTGCCTGTAGAATTTTCTCTTGCTCGATTACCTCTGTTGGCCAGATTGCATCTGCGTTTGATTCCGTGGAAGAAACCCCGGTGCTATCTGAACCCTCCTCTCTCATTTCGGCTTCTTCCGCGGATGATCCTGCAATATCTTGTGATCCAGTTGATGACACTTCTTCCATTTCATTTATGTCCTTCATGGTAGAAAGCTCTGATCCTTTGTAGATCTGTTGAAGCATTGATTCACCTCTAACATCATCACTGTAGCACTCATTCATTCCAGGTTGAGTTTGATGGAGTCCTGATTCGTTTTCTTCTTTTGCTTCATTGTCATAAGCAAGTTCAGTTTGGTGATCGTTCATGCCAGATTCTGATTCTGATTCACTTGACATGGCTTTTTTATCTTCTATTTCTTCATGGACTACTAATACAATCTTTGGTTCATCCATAGCCTGCTCAGTTTGCTGTTGGCTCATTTCCAATTGAGGCTTTGTCTCTTCAATGATTGCAGTTGATGATGCTTCCTCTTCTTCTTCCTGCTCATCTATTTCCTTCACAGCAGAAAACTCTGTCGTCTCGATTCGAGACTCGGTCAGCAAAGCTTCTACTTCCCCTCTTATCTTTTCTGCAAGAACAGAATCTGGTTCGTCTTCTCCAATAACTTGATCGAATTGTGAGTCAGTTGATGCTTCATCTAATTCTGTCATGTTGAGTTGAGCTCCTTCCTTTAACGGAGCTTCATCTTCTTTTTCTTCATCGTCATGAGCAAACTCAACTTGGTGATAGTTCATGCCGTATTTAGATTCCATCGATGAAACTCCATCATCATCTTCTTCTTCGTGGGCGAAGGTGATCTCAGATTCATGTAAAGGTTGCTCGGTTGGCTGCTGGCTCACATCCAACCGAGGCTCTGTCGATGAGATCTCTTCTCCAACAACGTCAGGTTTCTCCAAGATCAGCTCGCTTCCTTCTCCTGTTCCATTAACAAGAACAAACTCGGATTCTTCCAAGGTTTGCTCTATTGAACCACACCCATCATTATGAGTGTCATCTTCCAAGATGGTGTCCTCTGTTCCCCCAACATCTGGATTCTTGGAGGTGAGAGGCTTGGAAGCAGAATCGTTCTCCTAAATGAATCCAGAGAAGAACAAATTTGATCAAGAACTCATGAACACAACGTGAACAAACAATTACCTCATCATCAGCTGGTTTTGCGGTGGTCGAAGACCGCCTTCTCTGAGCTCTACGGGCCACGAAGGCGGTGCCGGCGCCGACAGCGGCCGCGATGAGTACGCTGCCCAAGATCAGGATCCCTCCCCCACCCGTCACCTCTATCTTCACCCATGGCTTCTTCCTCCTCCTCTTCTCCTCCTTCCCTGCTCCGACTCCTGCTGCTTCCATTACCCCTCACACGACCTCGCTTCTCATCGCTTCTCCTTGACCTTCGTCTCCATCTCGACATCGACCTTTACGGCCGGCCATTTACGGGGAGTGAATTGCTGCAATTTGTTGACGACTGGTAGAAGAGACAAAGGTGGGGAAAGGGTAGCGGAGAAGGGTCGGTATCGGATGAGCCGTTTGCGGGGAGCGCGGAGACTAACGTGGCGACTACTTCTGCCTCGGATTGAGCGGTCGGGCCGAGTCGTGGATGTGTTTGTTGAGCGTGCGGGGAGGTAACTTCGTGACGACACGACAGCCACCCGCTGCCCGCCCGAGCCGAGCGCTTCGGTCTCTGCCACGTGCAGCACAAGGTGCGGTCAATGAAGACGCTTGGAAAATTAACGGCGTTTCGAGGCTCTTCCACACGACTTCCATTTTTGTCTTACAATTCATTTGAAATATGAAGTTCTGTTTCCGCAAAGGATAAATGTGATTTTATGATGATTTTATAAAATATTTATTAAATAATATTTTTATGAGAATAATAATAATAGAATAATTATTATGATACTTTATTATCATATGATTAGTATGTTCACATCATATGATCAATATCTCGATATCAATATCATTTCTCTGATCCTTTAATGTTTTAATCATATCTATAGTTGTTATAAATTCTTCGAATTTAACATAATATTATTTATGATAAAAAAAGATATATAATCATCTTTGACATTAAAGTCCGTTTTCAAGTATAATGATTATAAAATTTTTTCATAAAAGATTATTCAGATGCGTCTCTCCCACTCTCTAAAATTCTCTACCTTTCATACATTTGACGTAAATCAATACCTTACGATCATGACTAACGATTTTGTCAAAGATACTTGATATAACTTTTATAAAATTATATAATTTTTTGATATCAATATGAGATAGAGCATAGAATAAAACCTTGATTGGGACTCAACTATCTCCGAATTGACATCCGGGTCGGACACATGGTATTGCATGGAATGATAATATATACATTCTAGACGGATTTGTACGGTATTGTTTATATTTCACAGTATAAATATGCAATTAGCATCTCTGTATCATCAAATTTTCGTGGCACAAAATATTATACAGCAAAAGAGTCACGAAAAAGGAAGAGGAGAAGCAGGTGAAATGGCCGCCTTAACGAGCCTATGCCCGCCGGCGACTCCGAAGCCCTCCTCCGCCGTTCGATCTACGCCTCCTGTGGTCTTCGCCGGTCGGAGGAAGTGGGCGGAATCCCGGCGGAGGACCGGTGGAGTCGTCGCCTCCAGACTCGGGGCCGATGCCTCCGACCCGCTGCTCCAGGCGGCTCTCCGTGCCGCTTCTCTTCGCTTCCAAGAGTCGCTCCGCCCAGGTCCGCGTTTCCCTCGCACTCTCTCGATCTCTTATTGTTTTAACGATCGAAACGTGTTCGATGAAATTCGCTAAAGAAAGTGAGGGGGGAAAAGGAGCATTTTTTAAGGGATTTGTTAACAGTATCTAAGACCGCTTTATTTTTCATGTTCTTTTTTCTTGAAGGATAAATTTCTTCGGCTTTGGTTTCTCAAGTGGATTTTCTTGGGTGTCATTCTATGCAAACACAGCTACGAGCTGTCTATTTGTTAGTGGAATTGCTACTGAGCTACTAAATATGTAGGGCGCTGTTGTTTTCTTTTCTTTGAAGTCAATTAGTTCGCAGGTTGTGGCTGCTCTTTCGAGCTCGTTGAGCATACGGTTGGAGATTCTTGTAACGATGTTTGTGTTTTCTTTTGACAGTAATATGCAATAAAGTTGTAGAACTACTGGAATGCTTTTGTTGAAACTAAACAGATTAGCGGACATTAAGTCGACAACATTGTTTTCATGAGTTCTATTTCAGTATTTGTGGTAAAATAGCAATTTTCTATCTATTGTTGTTCTCGAACATCAACTTTTTCTACTAAGGAATTCCGAAAGTTTATATTCATTTTGCCAAAAATTTGGCATTCTTGTTTTATGTCAGCAGATCCTCTTTTTGTTGATCCATACTCCGGTTGCCTTCTTTCTCCTACTGTTAGCCATGAGGATTTGGAGGATAAGTGTTTACCTTCTTTGCGCCACTATAGGTGGACGACAAAATATGTTGATGATAAATTGCTTGCTTTGCTGGGAACTATGGATGAGCTTAGTCAGGTATTTAGATACATCATAAAATAGCTGCATTTATCTGTCATATCACGTTTGTTTCTTATTCCATATAGATTGTTTTGTTGACAGATGGTATGGACACACGTCCGTATAGGCTGAGTTGGCCATTTTCATGTGTCATATTTGACATCTCTCCCCAGAGTGTCTTCAATGTGGCTTCTCAAAAACTAAAAGGTTCGTGCCTCTTTTCAAGTAAAGGGGTATGCGATATGAGTCCATCTGCTTTTGACTTTAGAAGTTGTAATGCATCGAGATGCAGTATGTACTTTGTACATCTTCTTGTTGATTATTCTCCTTGGATAAATATAGGTACAGGAGCTAAAATTGGGAGAAACTGTAATTTAGTTCATGTTCCTCTAGAGTCGATTGATTTGCAGGCTGCCTTGTACAAGAAGGGTTTTAGTGGGAATAAGCCAAGTTTATGGGCCATCCAGGTGAAGTTTGGATTTGCATTATATTTCTTGAAATTTTTGTACCCGATTCCCTTTTCAATTTTGCATTTGGTGTCTCGTACTTGGAGAAGAGTTGAGGGCACCAGGATTTAAGTTCTTGCTGATCAATGAATTGCTTCTGATGTACTATTTTTCTCCTTCTCCAGCATGTATATACGTTGGCACATGCTTCTGATTGTTATAGTATTGCCGTATTATATATTTAGGATCAAATAATGTTGGTTTAAGTTTGATTAGATGTTAACCTTTCGGTCCTTGTACAGAGTATAAGGAGTTCCAGAATATTGTTTGTGAAAACATGCTGATTGGCTTACAGAGATGGCTAATCTTTTCCTGTGTTTCTGCAGGGGCTGCCCATATCAACTTTGACAAGCTTGAAAGGTATATTATCCCTTGTAAGCAGTTCAGCTATGAAAGGAAGCATTCTCATGGGAGAATTGCCAGACTTTTTGGCAGGGGCTGAATTTGAAACAAAGGTTGATTTGTTGTGCGAGCATGTTTTTTTTTTCTTCTCTTTCTTGTATATTATTACCTTTGTAAGTTCTTGCCATGTTCCTCTTTCTCCATTGCAGGAAAAGAGACATCAGTGGACAGATAAACTTTTTATGAGCCATGGCTTCCGAGTTAATGTCGTTGGGTACGATGAGATTGCAAAAAACGTGGACTTAGATGAGCCGTTTGATGACACCAGAAATATAGTATTTAGTGCTGAGCAATTGCGATTTTCTGATGCTGAGGTACTAAAATGCATAAATAAATTTTAGTTCCCTTTTGTAATTGTACCTTTATAGCTAGATATAATTCTTCTAATTACTAGGAGTGCTTGACACTGTGGACAATGGTGCTGTATTCTCAATAGATTAAAACATTCTAAGGCTTTCAATCTATTGAACAACTAGCTTTAATTTCTTTGGTCACTTCTTGGAGTCTTTGGTATTAGACTTCTGTAATTTCTATCTAGAACCAGGTTGGGTTGCGTTGTCAAAGTGCTACCAGAAAGATTTGCTAAGTATTGCAACATATGTGTAGGTTAGTGATTATTAGGTGCTTGGATCCTCTCTTATGATATTCAAGCAACTAGAATTCTCGTGCTACTGGGCCTTTTTACATGAGATCATTGATAAGTTTTAAAATGTCCCCATCTTATTGGGATGTTAGAAACATTTTATTCTTCCAATTCCTTTTCCTTCATGACATTCTCTGTTTTGAAGTATGGTGAGAGCTACTAATGCATTCCTTTGAAGATTGGATCCTCAGCACATTTTCCTCCTTTGGTTTAATGTCACATTTACATGCCCTGTTGTCACGGCCTTAGCGGGAATTGCCTAAGGCATGAGACACCCTTGCGGCAAAGACGCGAACTTAGATTGTGTTGCCTAAGTCACGAGGCACCCTTGCGGCAAAGATGCGAACTTAGCTTGCGTTGCCTAAGTCGCGCTTCGCCCTTGTAATTTGCGTCTGCAAAGATCAACCCACTTGCAACCTCTCGCAGGTCCCGAAGGACTTGTAAAAAGAGAAAGTTGATTAGTTCGAAGAACGAGCGACGGACAAGTCCCGACTTCTCGCGAAAAGGGGAAGCTTTACAAGCAATTCGGTGAGTACCTTGCGTGCACAATAGAAAAGAGGGAGAGGGGGAAAACAAGGACTTTAGAAGGTTGAACGAACAGCTGCAAGTCCACAAACAGCTGCTCACCGGGTACCGGGCGCGACAATAAGTTCCCGTCAAGGTAACGTGCGAACTTGCGAAAGGGTGTTCAACGTCCGACACTATACCGAAGCCCCATCCAGCCCTGTGCCATCCAGGTGGTTCTAGGGTGCTGAGATGGTTGACGTTTTGCGTGCAGTAACGGACTGCAGAAATCAGCCCATGGCACGCGAAAACGGAGCTGTTTTGGGGCTGTTTTGCTCGGTTCGGTGAGCGGTCGCACTGTAGCGCTACAACTTTTTCGAACTTACATTTTTACAAGCAAACTGACTTAAAACCAAGCCAAAACATGCTGCCAAGCAGCTGTACATGTAGACGAGAGCGACGAACGGTTCATTGAACGGAGTTGTTGCGGGTGCGCAACGATCGTTCGTGACACTGTGGTACTTACGAACCACCATAGACACAGTTTCAAAGATTGAGTTCTCAACAAGCTTTTGTTCTTTGGCTTAATATTATATCCAAATGCCTTGTAATAATTTGGGACTACCAAGGCTGATCAGTGCCCAAATTCTGTTTGGAAATGACTGCTTGAGCAACATCAGCATTTACTTAATCTTGTTCATGCTGATATCTTTGTTGATAACTTTGTTTTTTTTACTTGCACTGGGGACTGTTGTGTTTTGATGTCGCATGATTAAAGAGCACCTAAACTTTCTTGATTAGTATGTCATAGGTGGCCGCTTTGTGTATAATATAACGTGCATGATATAGTTGGGGTTACAACTTATCACAAGACATAAAGTCCCAAACAATTTGATAGGTAGGTTTAGTTACATTAAATTTTAATAATCTTTCTTAAGAACAAAATGTTGATCTAAGGGAATTCATATGCATATTTGTTCTGATAACGAATAAAGAGAGCAGCCTTAGGATAGAGGATGGTCTCAAAGAAATTGTAGCATGTTCAGTAGACCAATTGTTGTCTGGCTTGTTTTTGTTCTGCTGCTAAAATATTCTCAGCGATCGTTTCCACTTGTAGCAGTTTCTAATAAATAGTTCTGAAAATATGTAGCTATTTGGTTTTTGTGTAGGGTTATGCTGTACACACAACTATAGGATGACTGCAGTAACACATGAACTTGTTTGTCTCTTCTAAGAAAGCAGAATTCAGCTATTAGCTTCATATTTGATGTAATTGAGGGCATTTTCTTCTTTTAAAACCCCAAATAAAAGGAAGCACAATCTGATTTTTCTTAACTACTGTAATTATCTTAAGAACAGTAGCTACTTCTATGCTTTAATTCTTTGTACACGATCTGTTATCCACAATACAAGTAAGATTTATTGATTGTAATTTCAATCATCTCTCTCAAGGCAAGATGACATGATAGTAATATTGTTTCTCTCAATTTGTTGTTTAAATATTAGATGGAGTCATGGAGGGCACATCTGGAAAGGATAGAGCAGGAAGGAGATGAAGAAGGATTTGAGGAATTGTAGCTTTTTGAAGGAATAATGCCCTTGGAGCAACAATTAGCATTCATTCACATCAGTTATATTGGAGTTTGCCTGAACATTTCTATGTTCCAAATAGCTATTTAATTTGACATTTTGTCAAATTAATATTTGAAGCTCACAAGACTCCCTTTGTGTTCTAGGTTTGTGGAGTGGCAAAGTCAGGTTATTTGTGATCTATTTATTGGTAGGGAAAGTAATCTTTATTTTGTCACGAAGAATACAATTATTCCGCCTTGGCTACTTTCATCGAATCATTGTGTGTTCATATAATGCGTTCCATTTAGTATTCACATAATGGGTAATTTTATTGAATCATTAAACGTAAATAGTCGTCCGAACCATTGAGTATTATTGTTAAGATCATCTATTCGCATAATGTCGATTTAGTGTTTACTATACACTAAATCAAGGGATAGTTTCATCAAATAATCAAACATGAATGATTTCGAATCGTCGAGCATTATTGTCGGCATCACTATGTTCAAGTGTCGGATTATAGGCGATGTGACAAATTGGATGCCTCCACACATTCAATCTCTCCATATCACCTATTACAGATCAATCTAACATATATGAAGCCCTTCTTCTTCTTCTTCACATCTTCATCATTCGTTCGTTGCTGCCGTCCCCGGCCGCCTGTCCGGTTAGGGTTTTGGCAAAGAAAGAGGAGCGACCTCGTTTAGAGAGCGCGTATCCGACCCGCTATCGATTGGGTCGAATTCGGATCGCACAACCCTACCCGGCTTATTCTCGACCCTTTTAGCGGGTGCACCGGTCATCGAGTCCATATTCCCGTATCGGGCCGGATCTACTCATCCATTTCTGGATCCGCTCCGTTTTGTTTCGGAGGACTGCCTTGCTTCCCAAGCAGCCCGCCCCATAAAAAATCGGACGAACAAGGAGGAGGCAACTGAGCTCCTTCTTGTCGGCCTTCTTCTTCGATAGACCGCGTCTGGATCCCAAATCGAGGGCGACAGTGATCCCGGAGCGAGATCACGATCAACAGGTTCTTCTTCACTCTGTCGCTTGGCTTGTCCATGCATCTGTACACTTCGCATTTATCGATCCGTCGTTTTGATTTTCTGCCGTCTTTCGATCTTTCTTGGCATGTGTTTTTCTTCCGCGGGTATCACAAATCTTCTGATCTTTTGATGACGGGGGTCCCGTTTGGCTTGTCCGGCCTGGTTTTGGTTAAGTGGAATTAGGGTTTCGTGTTCTGTCTGTTTATAGGTTTTTCTTAGATATTTTTTATTTAGTTTCTTAATTTAGTTGGTACTATATCTTTCTGCTTTGGACCAGCTTGATGTGTTCTTTCGATCGTTTGTTCAAGCCATAGCTGCAACCAAGGGCTTGCAGAAGAGGGTAATCATTGATGGGATATATGTGTTTGGACTATTAAGTAGCACATAGAGGAGGTTTAAATTTATCTGTAGTGATAAATAATAGGAGCGTCGGTCTACCTATTCTTTGCATTGCCGTAACTTATCAATTTCTTTGTTCATTGTATCATTGTGGCAACAGATCTGAATGCAATAAGTTGTTTGCAAGTCTAATTAGATCTTAGTCTAATGGTTGTAGAAAAAGGCATGGATAAATTGCACGATAGTCCATAAACCGTTGGACCAATTTCAAATTGCTTTTGAAAATTTAATCAATTCAATCCATAAATCTTTTTTAGTAGTTTGAATCAAGTGTTGCGTCAGGCATCCTTTAAAATTTAAAAATTGAAAAAAATTACTGGCATATTCATCTAATTATCTCTAAAACATAGGAGAACTCCCACTGAGAGTTCCTGTACGTCCTATGGTTAAGAGTTATTCTTCTTTGCTTCGCCAGCCATGATCTCCTCTCTTCTTCATCTTTATCTTCTTCCCATTTCCTTTCATCATCATCACCAAGCACAGAGGAGGCTGTAGTTAATGGCAAGGGTCCATACAGAAGATGTGATCAGCTGCCACATTGGTTGAAAGCCTCTTGTTCTTTTTCTCCCATCTGCTCCTTACAAGTGTCATTAGTGATCTATGTTGTAAAATACAGCAGAGAAGAAATTGATGTGTGACTTTGCTATTTGTTTCAAGCCGTGTCACCCCTTTTCTTCTCCTTTCATTTCTTTTGCAATGGTAACAGTGACCTGATGTCATTGGGAGAGAGCTGAACTTTGTTTTCTCTTTTATTTAGAATTTGACATGACACACTATAATTTGTACGATTCACAATCTATGTGGTGGATCCAAATGATTGTGCTTACATGTTAGCATTCCATCATGTTTTAGAGATGGTAGGTGATAGATTGTAATGACTTAAGAAGTTTTTTTCCCTTAACATAAAGTAAATTACCATGATTAATGCGTTGCTTTATTTGAATAACTTATTTCCTTGTTTATGTAATATGCTCAAGGAACTGATTGCAATCTATCTCCTCAACAGTGTGGGCAAGTTAGGATTTTAGTCAATCAATTAAATAATTCGAAAAATTATTAATTAATTTTTTTCCTAGTTAGTGATGTAATTTTTAGGAAATAAATATTTTGAATTCCATTTTTGTTGTGAATTATAGGAAATAAATGTTATAATTCTATTTTTGTGTGTGAAAATAAAATAAAATAAATTAAAAACGAAAATTAAAATATTTTACCTTTTGTGGTGGGCTTATCTTCTCCTATATAAAGGGACTTCTCATCCCTCATTCCTTATTGAAGTTGGTAGTTGGAGGATTAAGGAGAGAATCCCCAAGAAGATGTAGGATTCACTACCTTTTCTTTCGAAGCTTTGATTTATGCTTTGAAATCATTGATATTATAATTTTATGATGCATGATGATGTTTTAATTTTGAAATTTTATGATTAGTAAATAATGATCATTAAATTTTGATGTTAAAATAATTATTTATTTTAGGTTGATGATGCATGAGTTACTTAAATCCTAAGTTGATGAATTTTACAAAATCCTTGTCAAAATAATAGTTCTACAGATTAATTAATTTTAAATTTGGGATCATGAATTTATTGGATTGTTTATTCATGAAAATATATTTTGAATTTAATTATTTAAAGTATATTTTAATAAATTAATATTGTATTTTTGAATGTTTTAATGAAATGCTTATTTTGGTAATGTGTTTAGGTTTAATTGTTATCATGCAATATTTTAAAATATTTCTGAAAGGATTGAAATCTAATTTCTAAGAGGAGTCAAACTCGTGTCTAACCTGAGTCAAGTTGATCTGTCAGACTAGGTCAGCCCAACTCGTGTGGCAAGGTGTGGCCTAGCTCGTGAGGCCACAAGTAGGCTTAGCTCGTAAGGCCATAGGCAAGCCCAGCCCGTGAGCCAAGCATGGCTCAGTCTATTGCACCTCAGCCCAACTTGCTACCTGGGCAAAGCATGTGCAGCGTACGTAACCTGTACAGGGCTCAGGTGGGCCTATCCAGTCTGGGTTAGCATTGTGTAGCCTAGCCCATTCTCTCTTTCTTTATTAATTTGAGCTCATTAGTTGATTGAATCATACCGGTTTGACCTATCCAAATCGGTTCAGGGTGATTTCGGACCAATTTGACCAGTTCAATCTTATCGGAACTAATTGGAACCAATCAAATCCAAATTAGATTAGTCTTAGGTGATTCTAGACCAGTTCAATAAGGATTAAAGGTTGGTTCAGTCAGTTTATAGTTAACTTGAGTTGGTATAAGTCAATTGGACTATTTCAAGTAGGGTTCAAGTTGATTAAGGGCTATTGAGAGATTGGTACCTCATGTCTATATGGTTTGATGAACCTAAAAGCTTTATTCGAAGTTGTGATTAGGAAATGATTAGTGGTTCTCCATTAATTTTGAGACAAAGTTGATATTCTTAACATGATTGTTATCATGTGATATATGTGGTTATGCTGAGTAGTCCACATTAGAAGTGCACTATGAAAGGAGCTACGAGCCCATTACAGTACAGAGCTACTAATAGACATAGTCTAGCAGATCATACTCCAAGCATGATCTCTTATGATATTTTTGATTGTATATATGAACGAATGGATGAATGATCATGGATGATTATGTAGCCTTTTCGAAGGCAGGTTAGGGCGATTCCCTTTGGAGATTAACGGGTCATTAGACATAACGGGTGGACGATTCCTCCATATGTTGTTAGGACGAACATTTCCCTACTTGAGTGGGTGAGGGACACCACCCCATTCACTGATGGGAGTGCTATATGAGTTCTTTCCATCTGCTGTTGAGAGTTTATAAAACCCATCTTGTGGAGTATCTCTTCATGTGCTATTGAGAGAGTGCACTATCGGGTCTGATGTAGGCCTTTGTTGCTTGATTGTTGTGTATGTCAATGAGATATGGTGTATGTGATTGATGCATGATTTTTTTTACTGCATAAGAAGTATTATTGTTTATTTGATACATGAGTTTCATAATAATTGATATGTTGTTGTTGTTAATATTTGAATATTTGAATATGTTGCATAAGAAGTATTTTTCGAAGGTTCCTACCAGCATGTATAGTTGCTGATGTACTTTTATCTTATACTTATTTTCAAAGTAACCTATTAACTTGTAATAGATTTGAGGCTTCGGTGAAGGAGACCTTTTCGCCACTTGTGGTACTCACAAGAAATTGCAGCCCTTTTTTGAGTTAAAATTTGCAAAGACAAGGATATTGAAATAAAACATCTTCTATAAATTGTGGATTTTGAAGTGATGGTTTAATTTTAATAAATGTGGGGTGTGACATAGATATACCATATTGAATCAAATTCTAAAATTTGAGATCTCCATCGCCACAATTTTAATCGATGAGACCAATTTGAAATTGGCTCTATAATTTAGGGTCTCTTGGTGTAAGTTAGTCAAAGGGTATATATATATATATATGTATATATATATGTATATATATATGTATATATATATGTATATATATATGTATATATATATATATATATCCAAGAATGTAACCTTAACGGTGTGATCCTACTAACTCTAGTATGTAACACGGAAGTGCTATATGGTATTGTACCCAATTATCATTGGTTAAATTTCTGTTAATGTCCTGATGTTTGTATCTACAGAGCCAAAAATGCAAAAAAACTTTTATGTTAATGGTTTAAGCATCTTAACCTTTGATGATATGAATTGACTTATACCAAGGCAATTCTATAACCTTCCTTTTTGTCTTTTGGGGTAATTTATCATTTTGCCTTAGTGGGTTTGGTGCAGCTTCATCCCTTTGTAATAGCTTTTGTTTCGTCTTAATGTTTAAACTGGCCCTTCATATGGTATTTGTTTGCTTTTTTAATTGATTTAGTTGTCATTTCTCTCCAGAATGGCTAGGCTTGCTGCAGATGCTCCAACAAAAGGTGGCTTCAGCTTTGATTTGTGTCAAAGAAATGAAATGCTGTTGAAAAAAGGCATGCATCTCCCAACTTTCAGAAAGACTGGAACAACCATTGTTGGCTTAGTCTTTCAGGTGCTTATGCTATTTTCTTTTTGATGATTTGGTATTTATGTGCATGTTTTTAGAAATGTAAATAAGATTTGGTGATCTGATTCTGATCATGAAGGTACAAGCATATATTATGATTTCTGAGCACATAAAAAATCTTCTCTACTAATTATGGTACACCATTGAATTCTTAATTTTTGTAAGGAGGATAACTTGCTGGGTTCATGCTTTCTCCTATCAATACCGAACAAAACAATTCCACTTAGTAGTCAGCAAAGTTTGTCAGAAGTGCTTGCAGAAAATATTTTAAATGCACTAGGTCTTTCAAGTAACTACAATATTTTAAGGATATAAGGGTTGATATATACACACAATTTTGTTTTTTTTCCTATATTTTCAGGATGGTGTTATTCTTGGAGCGGATACGAGAGCAACTGAAGGGCCTATAGTCGCTGATAAGAATTGTGAAAAAATTCATTACATGGCTCCAAATATTTATTGTTGTGGAGCTGGAACTGCTGCTGATACAGAGGCAGTAACAGGTAGGCATCTGGTGCATGCACCAGTCTGTCATTTTAATCTTTCCTTTGGCACAATTGCATCGACACCAGTTGTTATGCTTTTATGGGATAAGTTAATAATCTATCAATCGTTATAAATAATGTAGTTTATCTATTTGCAACACCAGATATGGTTAGCTCCCAGCTGCAGCTTCATCGTTATGCAACTGGTCGAGAATCGAGGGTTGTTACTGCCCTTACACTTTTGAAATCACATCTGTTCAGGTACATTATCTATGTGGTATGCCAAGTAGGATACTCCTAAAAACTGTTGGTAAGTGCTTCGCTGTAATTGGTACATTTCAACTTCTATGATAATTACTTTTTCAACAGTTACCAAGGTCATGTTAGTGCTGCATTAGTTCTTGGAGGAGTTGATATTACAGGACCACATCTGCACACAGTAAGTGCAATGTCTTCAGTTAAATGTTAAGAGAGATTTATTATCTGTTAGATATCTGCTGCAGCTTCTAATAACATGACCATTATGTAGGTATACCCTCATGGTTCAACTGACACTCTTCCTTTTGCTACAATGGGTTCTGGTTCTCTTGCTGCAATGGCTGTCTTTGAGTCAAAATTCAGAGAGGGTCTAACTGTAAGTAAACAATATTAGATTGTGGAAAATCATATGTATGCTGTCACTGATGTTGCTTTATAGTTAAACATCACTTAGCCAAGATCAAATCTTTGTTATGAACTATTGGCAGACAAATGTGCTGTTAGCATATCAAGTTACTACTGGACATAATTAAGACATTAATCATGAAAGCTGTAAAATGTCTTCCTACACACTGTTAGATAAGTTAAAAGCAGACTGAGACCCTTGATGGGATGGTTCAATGGTAGAAATTTATCGACTAAATCCAAGCTTGTTTCCTGCCTTCCATTCTGTACCTTGGTTGCATTTCATTGATATGTAGCTTTTTCTGCCAGACAACTAGCTCTCTGAGGTTACACTTTGAATCAACTGGTGGCAAAGACCCATCAAATATTTGATGGTGCTTCTCGAATTTGGGTTTTGCACTACATCCGACCTGTATTTACAGGAAATAGCTTGTTGTGATTGATAGTAATAACGTTAAAAATCTAAATGTACATCTGGTGAAACTCTCCATCCTGCATAATACTTGATAAGACTGCAATCGTATCGCGGAGTCTGAATCCAGAGTTCTTACCGAAACTTTTTCTTGTTTGTGCAGAAAGAGGAAGGTATAAAACTTGTAAGCGAGGCCATATGCTCTGGGATATTCAATGATTTGGGAAGTGGAAGCAACGTTGATGTTTGTGTAATAACCAAAGTATGTGCAACTCCGTGACTGAAATTTTTATCGACTATATACTTATATATTCTGTTTGCCTTAACCAACAGCTTATATTTTCAAACATTTCCAGGGCCATACCGAGTACTTGAGGAATCACCAGCTGCCAAACCCTAGGACATATGTCAGCTCAAGAGGCTATAACTTTGTCAAGGGTCATACTGGTACGTCTTAATGATTCAATCAAACTTTAGGAAGCTGAAAAAGAAGACACAGCAGAAATTATATATGGTGTTTTTTGTGTGGTTGCAGAGGTACTGTCTACTAAGATCACCCCATTGAAGTCGAAGGTGGAAGTAGCCGAAGTCGATGCCATGGAGGAGTGATTCCGCCGGTTCACTCTTCAGCCTGACTATATCTCCCTGCATAAAATATTTCCTGGTTACATTCATCAACGAGAGAACCCAGTAAATTTTACATTTGTATTCGAACTGCACTTCCCTGTTTTTGAAGACTACATTCCAATTTGAGATGAATCACCGGTCACGTTTTCTGCTATGTCGTCTGGTTTGAACTTCTAACTACGAATATTAAAGGGAAAGAAAATTATCCTGTTTTCTGAGAACATAAACATTAAAGGGAAATATTTCATTCGAGAAAATAAACATCAGCGTTAGTGTTTTGCAAGAATAAATCACTTGTTCTTCTGCCCGATTTTTTCGCGTTGAATTTTTCATTCATCTTACAACGAGGAACATAACGCAAGCTTGCAGGTGCCAATTATTAAATATTTAAAAGATATTTTTATAATAATGCTTTGTGGAATTATTATTACGATAAAAGGTACAAAGTTGAAAAGATGGAATGAAAAATATATGCATTTGTGGAAGAAAGAAAAAGATGGAATATTGTGGATTAAAGGGCCAACCGAGTTTCTATGCGGGTTCTCAGTGGGAATCCGATTCCTACCCGGAACATATGCGGCGTTTCCACTAAAGCGGCAGCCACAGCCGTCCATTTGGTATCAGACGCTTCAAAAGCACGTTCAAAAAGAGGAGGGCCCCAATCCCAACCCATAAATCGTCTTTCCCTGGTTCATATCATCCTCTCTCGCCTTTGCTTCTCCGTCTCCTCTGGGATTAGGGTTAGATCATTTTGAGAGGAGCCATGTTGGTGTATCAAGATCTTCTCACAGGTACGCGTGAAGATCTCAGCGTTCTTGTTGAGAGATTTTTTATTGATCTACAGATCTGAGAAAAACATGCGATCTTTTGTGTTATAGCGTCCTGATCAAAGGTTTTTTTGTCTTATTTTTCTTGCCTTGTCTGGATCTGTTTTGTTTTGTTTTTTTTGTTAATCTGCATTGATGAGTTTCGTTCCTGCATCTTCTATATTATTTTTCCTTTGATCTTTTAGCAAGATCGAAATTTCGTACTGTTTCGGTATAGCTGAACTGAGGAGAGAGAAGAAAGTGTCCCGATGCCAGAACAACTACATGTCAACAGCCTCATATTGCCACAAGAAAAAGCAGTCTTAACGCCACAATATCCATTCAAAATCTTGAACAGGATGGAAAAGAAATGTCAATAGCCAGCCTCACATGCGCTAAATAATCCCCCAGCTGGGTTTTTGTTGAAATGTAGGATTCACCTCGGCTGAGAACTCTCAGGCATAGACACTCTAGCCTTCTTGGATTTACAACTTTTGTGTCCAAAACTGGGAGGCGGTGAAATCGAAACTTGCTATATGGAAATGCCATTTTTAGTTCAGTACTGAAAAATTGCTTGGTTGAGGTTTGGCCAATAAAAGAATTTTCTGGCTCCTCATTGTATGCTTTCTTTTTTGTGACTTTAGGTACTATAATAAGTTGTTTGCTCTGGTTTAGCTGTTCTCCTAGGGTATGGATTTTGAGCTGCACGGCCCTTAAGCATATGAACTTTCTTGTCTTTCCTTTAAATGTTATATTATGATAGCCAATGATAGTAGTAGCTGTATGTATCCCGATGTTTCAGTCGTCTTAATGATTAACCTGATCAATGAAACATGTATTACATATGGGCCTTTAGAACATAAGGAGGACGTGTTTTTGAGTTAGTTATACAGGTGATGTTTCATTGTTACAAGAGAAAAATGCTTCACGATGCAGCAGACTGCTCCATGCGTAATTTCACTTCTGACACTTTTGTAGTACTTTTAGTTTGAATTCTTTTTGCACTCTTGGAGACTGGTAGGCAGAAGATGAGAAACCTCAACATGTTGATCTTCCTGTAATTCATTTCTTGTGATGTTGTCTAATATACGCAAATCAGCATGTAGAATAGTTAGTGGTTAATTAGAGCTTCTCCCCTGCCAGGGAAGCTTGTTAACTGCTTTTTCTACCTCATGATTGATTTTGTAATTAATTGTCTCTCTTTTGCTTGTAATTTAAGAGAATTGTTTGTCTTTTTATTTTTTCTAGTGTTGTCTCACTTGAAGATGCCTTAAATATGGTGTCAAATAGATCTAAGTTCTATATTTGTTCTCATTTAATCTTTAGGATATTGAGCAATATTGTCTATCTTGTTTGTGCAACTGTATCCACACTAGTAGCTCCTTATGAACTCTTCTTACATATGTTGTTTGTTGTGTTTTTGTGATAAATTTGTTTGTTTTATTCTCCTAGGTGATGAGCTTTTGTCGGACTCATTCACGAGCAAGGAAATTGAAAATGGGATGTTGTGGGAAGTTGAAGGGAAGGTTAGCCATTTTCAAACTTTTTTATTATAATCACAATGCTTTTATGTTGTTGTATCATTAGTAGAATGATTTTTGTTTCATTTTTAGCCTTTCGTTATGTATTTGCTTTGACCTGGTCTTATTGCATATCTTTTTGGCAAATGGATTTTTCTCTCTATTAATTTCTTTTCAATCAGTTTTGTGACATCAAATAATTTTGTAGTCATTTCAAGATGACTAGCAATTCTTTGTTCTCAAAATTGCTCTCAAATTTGGTACTTGTTTGTTGTACTGATTTTGAGCATATTGACTGGCAGTGGGTAGTTAAAGGGGCTGTTGATGTGGACATTGGTGCAAATCCTTCCGCAGAAGGTGGAGAAGATGAAGGAGTTGATGATACTGCTACTAAGGTGGTTGATATAGTTGACACATTCAGACTTCAGGTCAATGCTCTTTCTTCTACATTAAAAATACCTATTCAGTTATAATGTGTGGATCGTGGATGGTAAAGCCTTTCAAATTATCAATAGGAACAACCTGCCTTTGACAAGAAGCAGTTTGTGACTTATATCAAGCGTTATATCAAGTTACTAACTCCTAAACTCGACGAGGAGAAGCAGGAATTGTTCAAGAAGCACATCGAGGGAGCTACAAAGTTATTGCTTTCAAAACTTAAAGACCTACAATTGTAAGGATCAGAATCTTTGCATATATTTTTTATAATTTGAGTTTTTGCTTTCTAGATGATTGTTAGTATACAATAATTTTAAATTTTTCGATTAGAGAAGGGAAGCAATAACACAATAGGAATCCAGCAAGCCATAGGTCTTCCTTTAAACCTTGATACTTCTTTTAATACATTCCACTAGAATGATGATGGGCCCTAGAAACTATCCTAAGGTTATCCCTTTGTGACCATAAAGACTGGTCATGTTTGAGTTTTATTGAAACAACCATCGGAAGCCTTATCCAGTAGGGGCCTGCCCATACATTCAACTAGGGTTCTATACTGCACTTTATAATGGGTTATGTTACATATCAGACTAATGTTTTTTATTTGTAGCATATATTTTAAATCAACTTAGTTGTGGCTATATTATGAATACAATCTGTTTATTTTTGATAAATGATATCTTTTGGCAGTTTTGTGGGTGAAAGCATGCATGATGATGGGAGTTTGGTGGTAGCATACTACAAGGATGGTGCAATTGATCCAACGTTCTTATATTTTGCCTATGGACTGAAGGAAATCAAATGCTAAGTATCATGTTAGGAGTGCTACCGGATGAAGGAAGTCGAATGCTATTTAGTTTCAGCGCTATCTTCCTTCTGCTTTCAAGAACAAATGAGATTATGCTTTTATTATGTTATCCTTTCTCGGACTAATTTAATTTACTTTCGAGTGTTTTTAAGGATGATTGTTGCTTTTATCCTGCATCTACTAATTCTGTGTCAGATGTCACACCGAGTGTTTTAATTTACATTATGGATAAAAAGTGCGCCTTGAGGTTAAATTTAATTTAATTGATCGGAGAGAAACCAACAAGAATCGTCTGCTGTGGACACATCATTTTGATTTATTTTACACTATCCTCAACCTCATTTTCTCGATATATCATATTAAACTTATTTGACACAATATCCTCAGTCTCATTTGCTCGATGCGTCAGTCAGCATTGTCTCAATTGGGAATGTCGTCGACATTGCCTTGCCTATAGAGGTAGCCATAAAGTCTCATTAGCCTGCGGGTTGATGAATGGGTAGGTCCATGTTACATGGACGGAAAGGAGGAAAGGTAACTAAGTCGGTCGTTTGTTTTGTTATATATCTTGATTGCGTTTATAGTTGAGGAAAATTTATAATCGGGGAAAGCACGCAATTGTTCCCGACATTTAATCATCATTTTAAATGTGATGGTCTCATATTATATTACAAAACAATTTCTTAAGAAGAAAATTGTTTTACATGGCTATGTTGGATATGTCCTAACGTAGTTTTTTACATGGCTCTGCCTCCATCCAACATGTCAAGTGTCTTCCACATCGTACAAAATCTAACTTAAAATATTTCATTTTTTATCTAAAAAATTGTGTAATTATCTCATTTCCACTATTTATTTACATCCACATGTAATTGCAAACATTTTACATCTTCAAAATATAATTTTGGTGATGCTCAATCAACAAAATAGTTTGGTGATTAGTGGTAAAATTACATAAATTAGAATCTCGTATTTTATATAATAGGAGTACCGTAAATTTTCATATAAATCTTATAATTATGTTAATGTTGTTGATATGCTAAAGTTATTGGTGATAGTTGGATCAACTTGACTTTGATTCATAACGATGCAATATACTCCGAAAATATGTCTGGGACTTTTAGACCTTCGAGGTGTATTCAAAAGGGTCTTAGATGCTCTTTCTTGTATATGTTAGATTGTGTGACTCTATTTAGTTAGGTACGATATATTATGGATATGATTGGATTCTGATTATGATTATCGACCAATAGAAATGAAGTCCTCCTCATCTTGATATGAGGGATTTTTCTAATTATTTATACTAGACCATCTATTCTCATTTATAAATAGATAGCATCTCCTACGGACTAAAAACATGATATTATTGAGAGATTATTGATTTTCTCTTATCTCCCCTTAGTTACGTGAGCTAGTTAATGAGATATTACATATATTCTCTCATCTCTTCTTTGTCCATAATCTATTGCTCATAGTAGTCCTATAAAAGATAGGAAGAGAGAAAATGACAAGTCTAATTCTTCTTATAGATTAGTATCGCTATAGCTTTCAGATCTAATGATGGTGCACCCACAGATCAGATAAACACTTTATGCTTATAATTGGTATCAAAGTCATGTTTATAAAATCAAATACTTTAGATTTATCTGTTAGCACTTTTCGCTCGCGAAAAAGTATTATTCAGTTTCTATTTATGATGCATGAATGATTCATCTGTATTGTTGATATGCTTTTCTATCCAGTCCATCTTACCACCTATTTGCAGGCAATGTGAGGTTCCTCATGCTTGATTAATGAACCACCATCGATAGCTTGCTGTTAACAATAGTATTATTAAGAACGATAGCCGTTAGTAGTCACTAATCCAGTCGTGTGTACCACAATGTAAGTATTGTGGGGTGTGGTAGCCCAATGGTGGCTACGTGGGTGGCCACAGTTGTCCCGGAAAGCTCGGGGTGCTATCGTACGACATCGATCCGTGCAGGTCGGTCGGTGTTCGTACAGAAGCTAA